AATTGAAAATAAGTCATATGATAGCATATCCCCTTTTTTATCTTGCTCACCATAATATGTATTATTCAATTAATTATTTAGAAAACTTATTTATGGTACACTGAAACCCAGGCTTTTGTTTAGCAATTTTTTTAAATATTAATTTCAACTATTAATTCTTTAAAATTATTCTCATGTTTACCCAAAATTGCTAGTTACTTTGAATAAAGGAAATTATACTGCATGTGGTTATATTCATAGCTTTAAACTCACTTTGTCTTAGTAGATTTTCCTATAGGATATAAATATATTGGTTTCTATAAGTTGTTTGAATGGATGCTAACCAAACAGCAAATGTATATCTCAGGCATGCTAAAAAATGACTAGATTTCATGAAAGCTCCTGAAGTAACTTAAGCTAAAAAATACTTATATTATTATTTTTTTTTTTTTTAAAAAAAGACACAATATTAATTTTTAGGAATCTGTGAGGTTTGATCTAAGAAATAACTGAAAATTATTAGCAATGAAAAAATAAATCGTAACATGAATACACATCTATGGAATAATATGCATCTGTCTATGATAAATCAATTCCTCTTATCCACGATGAAAGATCCTTTTCACTAGTTTGTCCATTTCCATCATGTTTTGGGTTAGGTTCGCTATCTGGTTCTAACATGAGTTCTGCACATTTCAAACCAGAAAGGTATGCACCATGTGTGGTAGAATAAAAATTAGGATGAGTAGCTTCTCCAGCAAACATCAAAGTTGGCTGAAACAGTAAAAACAAATAATTAGTAAAATCACATTTGGGGACTCTTGCAATAGTGTTTATTTACAATGCCAATGCTTTAGATAAATCACATGTTAAAAACAACTTTGCTTATTGAACCTATAACAGAAACATACAACAAATATAAATGTAATATAGTACTATTTTTCAACAGTATAAAACTATTTGAAGGTGTTAATGTAAAGTACTGATTTGTTATATACCTACCATTCATTCTCTACAGTTTTGCATAAGGAGTACTCTGCATTTTACCATTCCAGAAAATAATATTAAAAATGTGGTAACAATAGCATGCATAATTCTATTATCAATTTTGCAAAGTTACACACTATACATAATCAAAAGCATTTCACAGGAGTTAGGAAATATGTGAAAATAACCATGGACAATCAGTTGCAACATGAGAGGCCCATGCCAGTATTTTTCAGCTTTCCTCATACTACTGTACAAAGGAAGTACTATGACTGGCTTAGTCATACAGAAAATTATTATTACTGTTATTATCTCAAATAAATAAATAATATAACCAAAACAAAATTTTGCATAATTTTTTCCCCTTAAATCTCAATATTTAGTGGAAATTGGAGTATTAAAGTTGGAAATAATTAAAATTTGAAATAATAAAAGAACTGTATCCATTCTGAAAAATATAGCACAAAAAATAATACAATGTTTTCAGTTGTCTATATCTGGCAGAATAGACATTTTTCAATTTAAATATTTTAACATGCTGAATGCCACGCGCATTTTACGTGGTTCGCTCATGGCGCCAACATGAATTTTTTTATTATTCAATGCATACTATGTTGAAATATTATCTACAGAGGATAAGGTGAGTTATGTAATCGTGTTTAATGCAATTTTCCTGGTGGGAGTCACCGCTCACCCCAGAGGTGCTACAGACCATTTTGATTTATTATTTAAATTTTTATTATCTATTACTCTTCAAAACATTATACAGTCAAAAGTCGTTAATCCGGACCTCAAAGCTACAAACTTTCTGCGCATGCGTCAACGCATAATCCGTTCACGCATGCGCATAATACGTTTAATGTATAACGGATGGTATAAGCTAAGCTAAAATTATCTAATTATCTATTTCAGTTAATGTTGCAAATTGCGTTGTTCCTTAATCTTCGAATTGGATTCGGCTTATTATTTTTTGCAGACTGTTTTATAAAAGTAAGCTTGAACTTTCGATTATGTCAAATAGAATTTCTGATGCTGTAGCTGCCAAGGCGAAAGTATGTTTCGATGTTCATCAAACAAAAAGGTGGAATTGATGCAAAAAATGGATAAAAGCATATCCTTTGTTTTTCTAACCATTCCGAAATTTGTTTATCAATTTCACGCTGCTCTGCAGGGGGGGGGGACGTTCGCGGCACGCAATGAACTGGAAGTTGATCTGTCAGCACTATCCTTATCTTCAGGGCAGATTTTTTTTTTTTATTCAGCTTAGAATTCCTTACTAAATGTAGTATTTCATCTCGATGCATTCCGTCTTTGATATGATTTAAATCAAATTCCTCGTCATTATAAATATCACGAGTACACATCAAATAGTTTTCTGGTTGCAATTTTCTAATTTCGACTATGCGTGATGTATGCTTTATGCATGCGTGTGTTGAAAGAAATGTTTAATAAAGTAAACAAATAAATATTAAGCTTTTTTTTTGTAAATTTTGATACACTTTAGCTCATAATTGCTCTTTATTTCATAAATTATGGTTTAACATTTTTAATTTTATAATTTCTGCATGCCATCTTTCCAAATTTAAACTGATGATCTATAATCCGGAAAAATCGATAATCCAGAATTGTCCGACGTCCCGATTCCGATGTGCCCTAGTCTGGATTAATGACTTTTGACTGTAGTAACAATGGTTATTATTTAAAAATTTATCTATATCGATATTTACTCTAATTATATATTTTTTCTGTCAGTCGCATCGCCGGTCATCCCCACGGTGCTGTAGCCGAGTGCCGGCCACCGATGACCCCCCAGCAGTCAACTTGTTAACTAATGAGCACCTTGATAATTTATAATATGTATTTTAAATAATAAATATTTAATAACCTATTACAACTTTACATACTGAAGATTATTATTTTATTTTTTGTCCATCGTGAAATTGTGCAAAGAAACAAGGTAGCTCATTGAAAAGGAAGCTATGAAAAAGTAAGAGAATTCTGTTCTAACACTGCCTCCTTCCATATCTGTCTACCTAAATCACAATATCAGTTTTAAATGGAACAATATTAATTTTTAGGAAGTCGCTTGACTCAGGTATATGCAACTGTTATGTATTTAAAAGAATATGGCAGTAAATTTTCTACATTATCCTTTTCACTGCAATTCGACTGAACACTTGTGGAATATGCTAGAACAGAGATGAAAGCAGAGAATCTTGCATGGAATGTGAACTGATCGAATTGTGGCAGTGGTTACGTTAGTAAAAGTTTATACATATAATAAAAGAGAGAGTCTGTCTGTGTGTGTGTGTCTTTCGTTCGCGCTGCGCGTAAGCTAATAGACCCATGGCTACGAAATTTGGTACATAGGTGCATCTAGACAAGAGCCAGTGCACCTAGAAGCGATTTTTTCGAAATTCGAATTAGAATTTTTTTTATTTATGTTTTGTGATGAAATTGTGTCATTTTGAGACATTATGGGCTATAGGAGAGCGAGATTTTACTCTACACACTCCATTTTCCCATCGCGTCATGAAACGTAGGCACTTAGCTATTTTACGAACTTAAAATAAATTTTGTGTTTCAATAAATCGATTAAATACGAATTTATTTAACAAAGGAGCTTAACACCTTTTCAATGGGATTTTTTCTAAAAAAGTTTATTTTTAAAAACGTACAGTTTATTTTTCTTTGATTTTTGGACACGTTAAAATTTCATCCTTGCGACTGCTTTTACAAAAATAATTTTGGAAAAATGATAATATTTTGTATTTAAAAATTTTTTTTTTAAATGCAGCTTCCGAGTACACTTCTCCCATCTCCCACCTTTAAAAATGTGATTTTGCCAACAATTTTTCTGTCTTATTGTTGTTGATAGATTTTTGATGAAATCGCATCATTTTGAATAGTTTCATTCTTTTAGAAATATGGTTTTGGCAACAATTTTTCATTGTATTTCTTATGTCAATATGGGTTTGGCAACAATTTTTCATTGTATTTCTTATGTCAATGTTTTTAAGAGATTGGCATATTTCATAGTCATTTTTTTACATATATAATACATTTTTTAAAATTTTTTTATTCAGATAATTAATATTTGTATTAAGGGATATAGCTTATTTCATTGTAATTTTTTTCTATTGAAAATATATGATAAAATATGATTAATTATACTTTGCTTTTCAGAATTTTTTGTTTTTTGTATTCTTTTATGTTATTTATTGCTCATTTCACTGTTTTTAAGATACTGAAAAGTTTTGAGTGATTTTTTAGGAAACAAAATTCTTAACCTCCTTTATACCATTTGAGTTCATAAAGGGCCGTTCCCACTGGGGTTTATCTGAGCTAATGACCCATCTTCAAAACAGTTTTTCCCCAGTTTTTTTTTTTTTTTTTTTTTTTTTCAGTTATTAGGGCAGCAAGTTGAAAAATTTTAACTGCAGGCATAGTGGAGCTAGAAAACACATGGAACTGACTCCGTTAGCTCAGATAAACCCCAGTGGGAATGACCCTTAATATTTTGCAAAGGGAAGTCGGTTAATTTATTTCCTAGGGTAATTAATATTTGTATTAAGGGATACTGCTTACTATCATCAAGTTAAATGGCTGTGATGTGACTGGTGACACATTTTCTCGGAAGATTCCTAAAGTATCATAACATTTCAATATTTCAGAAAAAGAATCATTCAAACTATCAAGTAAGAAACTGCTTAAAATTTTTTAATTTTATTGTAGAATTTTTATATAATTTTTTATGTAGTTATAGTGGTGGTTAAGAAGGGGGATATAAATTATGCTTTAACAAATGTTTAATGCTCATCCCATGCAGTCAGTTTGCTAAAAAATTCAAGATGTATTATATGTTTTTCTGGAGATACATCAGGGCCATATGCAAGGCAGGGTTGGAATCTTAACAAAGAGAAAAAAGTTGGAAGAACTTACATGGCCTTCGGTCCCAGGTGTGTCTTTTAGGCATTTTTCCGGTATGTTTAAAAGCCAGATGAAGGCTGGCCGCATAGCGGCTAGTTCATTATAAAAAAGTAAAATACAAAAATGTTTGTACCCTGTATGACAAAAATTCTTTGAGATATTTCATTTTAAAATTTCACATTATATTCATGGGTTATACTAAAATTAAAGAGCAAAACTAAAAACAGTTTAGAAAAAGTTTTCTCACATTAAATGGATTTAATGATAAACACTGCTATGCAGATTGTTAAAGTACAGGCCAATTAATATAAAATTCAATTGTACGGTCAGTTTTTTTTTCTATGGTGTCAAACTTTTTTTTTTAAATTAAAAAAAATGCCAAAGCATGGAAATTTGCATCATTTAAAATATTTCTGTAACTGGAAGTATATGTGTATGATTAACAGTTTCAAAAATAAACACCATGTAAGAACTTTTTGTGAACATAGTGTAAAATTGATTTTATACAGTCAGATAATATTTTGATTATCTGCAAATTTATACATGACACAAATCATAATGAATTTCATTTAATGGAAACTTAAATCAAAAATAAAAGATAAAAATTTTTCCTTCCCCAGTTTTACAAGAACAATAAATAAATCATTTTAATACTTTTAATAAATTAAAAATTTTTTCATTTAATCACATCAAACTATAAACAGAAAATAGGCAGGCTACTCGGGGGGAAAAATAAATAAATGCTTCAAATTATTTATATGAAATTTTAGCAATAACATTTACATAAAGTTTTAATAAACAAAATGCATAGAAAAATTAATAAATTCTACATTCATGAATATAATTTTTTAAATTTTATTCATAAACAGCATTGGGTTTCTTTGGGATAGTGGATGAAACTAAAAGAAATTAATAAAGATGCGCCCAAAATAGGGCCACTGAAACGGGTGCACTCCATATGAAAATAAATATTCTATTAATCTTGTAATAAAATGCAAAGTAATGAAATAACTTTTCATACACAATCTACTGAAAAGTGTAGTAGAATACTTATTCATTTAAAATATGTTAATGATATAGATTCAGCATTTTCATATGTAACTCAATTCTGTTTTCTATTCTTTCTGAATAAAATTTTATTATTTTATTTTTATTCCTTTTAGGAACTGAAATTATTTCAAAATCCAACTAAACTCTCAAATGTCACAGCCAAATTGTTTCAAAATTCAAAAACTCTCAAATATCACAGCAGATCTCATAAAAAGCACACAAAAATACATACACTATATATATGAGTGTGTGTGTAAGATATAACAAAATATGATGGCTGCTTTAAGAATGATTGGCATAACTATTCTAGATTTGGGATTCTCCCCCCTAAATCCATCTGTTCTCCAAAATTTGAGATCTTTCCATGTTACATAAAGCTGCTTAAAAAAGGCAACTAAAACTAAAATTAACCAATCATAGCTTCAAATACTTTCTGCATCTACTAGGTATAAATACTCTTTGTAAAACAACTATGCCAATCCTTTCTCTTCTACCCTGCAAACAACTTTGCGCCGCTTATGCTGCTCTGTTCAAAATGCTTAGGCCATACTTTTAAAACCAGTGTACATAAAAATTTATTGTATTCAACGATAATTGAAAAGTAATATTGTCTGCAAAGAAATAATTTTTATGTGCCTAAAAGTAAAGATGGTGGTTTGCCAAAATTAATTTTATCAATGTCTTCTTACTGCATTTTTCACTCAACCATCTCTACAGCCAGATGTTAAAGTACCAGATTCCTACTATGCATTAAAATACTACATATATATATATAAATGTGAGTGTGTGTAGTAAAAACAAACTGAGAAGTACAGATGTAGGAACACTGAGACATAAAAATGCAGAAATACTGATGGCATAGATACTTGATGCTTCATTGTGAGAGAATAAAAGAAAAAACATAGCAAATGCTGTTTGGCATAACACGTAGATCCATACTGAAGAGAAATTTTGATTGCATAGAATGCTTTTGTGGCCACAATTCACTTGGTACTCTAATCGTGCCTATTTCCAGAACATTTACATTATTTAATACTATTGCGATAGGAAGAGAGCACAGTGAAATGGCATCCAGCAACAGAGATACAAATGAAGTGCACATTTATCCAATATGGTAGTCTGTTAAGAGAAAGCTTTTGGTTTAGGTTAGAAAGGTTTTAGTTCAAAGTTCAGGTTCAAAATTAATTATGTCATCCACATTACACAAGCTCTGTGGCATAGACTAATCTAGTAATGGTGCAGTTCACAAACATTATTTTTAGAGAAGAGAGATGCAATACCCAAACTAAAAATGAGGAATTAACAGACTCTTATTAAATTAAATTATAAAACTGATTTATTTTTATTTGCACATAACCAAAGAAAGTTATTGCAAGCATACAAATAAAGCTAAACATACATACAATGAAAATATTTAAAATGGTTAGCAACACTGAATTATTATATATGAATAGAATATAAATATATTACTGTTAAATGAGTAAAAATCAATTCCTTTAGGCTGAATTTCTTCGCTCCCCCCCCAAAAAAAAAATCTAAATCTTGCTGAGAATATAATATTTCTAAAATTTCACTTTACTCTGATGTTATTCGTAATACAGTTTACAATCATTCATGGTACAAAGAAATGTAGATATCATTTTTGAAATTTCATATGAAGTGTATTGTAGTTGAAATTAAAGTTCAGCAGGATTACAGCAAATTTTCTCCTTTTCTGAATTCATCCATTCATTGCCAAAATTTCAAAATAAGTTATTGCATGTAATAATAATAATAATAATATTAAAAAAAAACTGTTTTGTTATACAGTTTTTATGATGATGAAAATTCAGTTTTTTAATTTGATTTTTCTTCATTTTTTATTTCCATTTCTTTTGCTTTTGTTTTCATTTCCATTTTTATTTTCAATTTTTTTCTAAATAATTTTGATATGAACAAAAACTCAATTTTGGAATACATCTAAATTCACAGAAGTGAAAGTGATTTCACAGTAAATATGCAAAAATACATATACATATGTTACCAAAGAAAGGCTATCGCGAACATGCAAATCAGGATTTTTAAATTATATAGAAAATGAAAATATTTAAATTAGTTAAATAGGTACTAATATATAAAAAAATACAGACAAAATAATATAAACATAAAATATGCCCACAAAATAAGGTTTTTTATTTATTTTTTAAAAATTATTTATTATTTATTTTTTTAAAGTTCTTTTCCACTGTGTAAGAAGCTTGCCAATCCTGTTTATAAACTGGGTGCTAATTTCTTTTTTACCATTATAGTTATTGAGACTACAATCCCATTATTACAAAAGGAGTGCATTATTACATGCACATGTATTGCACTATAACATGATCAAAAGTTTGGAAAAGGATGCTTAACAATGAGTTTACTTGGAATGCAGAAAAATTCATAGAAGCTTCATTTAAGTGGATTATTTTGTTCTGCATCTGATACCTTACTTTACTGCACTAATGAAAAGCCAATCATTTCACAGCATCTACATGGAATCTTAAAAATTGACTAAATCATCAATTTAGAGGTACTATTATAAATTTTGCTAGAAAGGTAGAAAATATAAATGTCATACTTATTTTCTCCCTTCTAATGTTCCATTTCTAGCTTCATTTTTTTGCAATATTACACAAAGGAAAAGGGGGAATGCTATTTTTATTCTTTTCTACAGAGGGTATTCACACATTTTTGTAATGATTTTGTAAAGATTTATATATAAACAAACCTTAAAATTTTATTTTCTAATATATTCAATCTGATAGTCGTTTTGGTTGAACTATCATATTACATCTTGATTTCCAAGTTAAAAATCCTTTTCTTAAAATATCAAAGTTGATTTTATTCCACTCCTCCTTCACAATCTGCCGGAGTCCATCCAATGTTTTACGATGCCACTTCTAAAGAGCTTGTTTTAAAAGTCCAGATGCACAGTACTTCATAGGAGACACATCAGGGGACTTGGGTAGGATGCATTTAAAGGGAATAGTTTCAATTCTGGCTTCATTTCTAATTTTTTCAATAAATAGAGCACTAGATTTAGAAGTATGGCTTGGAGCCTTATCCTGATGGAACTTAACACAGTGAGGATTGTTTCGATAAAGAGATGGAATTTCTTTTTTAAAAATAGGTGTTAAAACATATTTCTGATAGTAATCCAAATTAATTTTGACATTTTATTCTACTTTCCTTATTTTAAGTTTTCCATTATAAGAAAATCTAGTAATAAACATAAAATTTTTAGAAAAACTTTCCCTGTTTTCTCTGAAACAAGATATTAAATATTTTACTCCTCTTTTTCAGTAGTAAATTGATCTTTTTCTACTGCATTCTGATAAGTATATCCAAGCCTCATCAATTGTAAATATATATTTCCATTTTCCACCTGCCAAATAATTTTCATATAGCAATCTGTACATAGTTTCACACTGAGAAACATGTTTCGGTGTTAGGTAATGAGCATCATGTTTTTTTGTTTTAAATAGCTTTAAATCAGATTTTAATGATTCTGTTCACAGTTCCTACAGAGATATTTAATGATTTTGCAATAGTTTTTTGAGGGGCTGGATTTTCCTTTAAAACATGAGATGCGACTTTAGATTCAATAAGAGCTGTATACACCTTTGTCGGGTACCCATTTTTTGCCTTTTTCCCAATCAGATGTGACATTTCTTTCCTTTCACATTAATGTTGTCACTTATTTTACGTGTAGAAATATTAAAACCATGATTTTTACATCTTTTTTTGTTAACTGAATAAGAGTATTTCTCTTTGGACAACGCAAAATATAGCCTTCAATCTATTGTTTACAGTTCAGCGACATTTTAAAGAAAAGAATATTTTTAATGCTGATGATGATAATTAAACCTTATTCCAATTTGATGCAAGTCACATTTGTATTTTAAAATTAATATTTAAATTTATGGAGAAAATCAAAATTGCTACAAAAATATGTGAACACCCTCTATATTTCAGTTCTGCTTTGGTGAAATAATTGGTGACTTTAGTGAACTGATGCTGCATTATGACCTTTATTCATCTCTCTATCTTACTTCTAAGTACATTATTTGCATAAATTAAAAATATTTCTAATTTAATGAATTTTTTGCATGATTATTAGATTGTGGTTCTAAACTAATAAAAAGCACACGAGAATGTTTGTTATTAATGCATTTTTAACATTTGAAAATTTATAAATTATTTGAATGAATTTTTTTTTAGTTTAAATTATATAAATTTTTAAGTTAAAAATGTTATACACAGATAAATCGTAAAATAATATCACTGAATGATTAAAGAAAAAAATAATTTCATATTATTCTAAAGTTATACACAAATAAATTGTAAAATAATATCATTGAATGATTAAAGAAAAAAATTAATTTCAAATTATTCTAATTTATTTTTTTAACTCTTGGGAGTTGTAAGATTAAACAATTCTTTTACCCAAACATGCATATTATCTGTCAGTCGTAAATTTGTAATGCAAAATATATCTGTTTTCACCTATGTTGGTGCATAACTGGAATGTGACCTGAACTAGTTGATGGCTATTAAAAGGTTAAGTAACCTCTCAAAGCAAGTTGAAAAAGATGGTAAATCTCTCAAATTTTGAAATTAATTAGATTGGTCAAATTTATAGTACATATATTCACTAAACTTAAAAGCTTGGAATTTTTACAAACTGACTTTTTAAATTTAAAAATACCCCCCTCCCACCACCAAAAAAAGGAGCTGTATCATTTAAACAATTTTATATCTGGATATATATGTCTATTACCAATGGCTGTAAAAATAAAAAAATGCATATAGACATAAACATATTGTATATATGTTCATACACATTTTAGAAGATGTCACCAAAACCAATTATTTATAAATATTACTGTGCAATTATTATACTAAATATTACTACGTTAAATTTCGATAAATAATACTAACTTGGATTTCGTCAAAATCAGATCTGATTTATGTTATGCTAAATAAGGTTAAATAAGATAATAGTTATTTCTACAAAACTGAAAGTTTCAATGACTTGTTATTGGTTTCAATTGGAGCTCTCGATGATAAATATTTAGATTATTACTACCTCTAATGTTCTCTTGTAATACAAGTATGTGCATGCCCACTGATTTAACATTTCTCATGATTGAGAAATGTTAAATCAATTTGGAAAAGGAAAAAGTTTGTGAAAAAAATCATATAACTTTATAAACTATAAAAAACTTTATGTTAAGATATGTTGTGTTAAAACTTTATGTTTAACTTTATAAACATATAACTTTTCACGCGTTAAAGAATTACTTCATGAAAATATATGATTACAAATATGACCATTTTAGTTAACAAAAACAACAAAAATGTTAATTCATTAAGAAATAGTTTTATAAATTTACCGCTATTACTAAATAAGGTTGCCCGATCAGAATTTTGATTAAAAACGAAATAAATTTAAATACATTTTTCATACTATCACAAAAACAATGCAGCTAATCTCCGTCATTCATATTGAAACAAAATCTGTGGCATACATTGTCAGATTTCGCGTTTCTGAAAATGTGAAATCCTTACAGCATATATTTCTGAATGCTATTATTGCCTGAATTGTCAAAATGGTATCAAAAAGCAATTGGCCTTCTTGGAAAGTTTCGGGTTTGGGAGCCAAATTCTTAACTGCTTGAAGACTTAAAAGGTTGGGTATCACTGTAACATCATTTCACAGTAACAAGACTTCTGATCACATTTTTGGATGTATTGCTGACTTTGAATGGAAAGGCTGAAATGGGAACTCTTCTTTCTTACTTCATCAAGAAAGCCTGAAATAGGGCAAATTTTAACACTCTGACTAGTAAGGCCTATGCAGTATTTATGGCCTGGAATATTTTTTGTGCCATCTTTAAATAGATGTTTATACATGCATCTTCAAATATTTCCAATAAATCAAAGCAGTGTTTTAAAAGATAAAGATTCCAGGTATAAAATATAAGAGGTATTTTAATAAAAAAAATATCTCATTCTCATAGAAAATTTGAGAGATTCACAGTTTTGCAGCAAAACCCTCTGCTACTTGAACGGTTAAAAAAACTTCAACAGGAAAAACCTGAATTGGGACATAACTGCTAAAAAATGGATAAATAGATAAATATACAACTAAAATGTTGCAGTGAAAAATTGATTAAAAACTCATATACATTATTTAGTGGTCAATATTTATTTATTTATTTTGGGATAAACACTGAATTTGCATTCTATTTTAATATGATGATTTCAGTAATATAACTTCAAATTAAAAAGATAATTATTAACTAGTTTGTGATTTTGCTTATGACAAAACAAACTATATAAATACATAATGATATTATATATACATGAAGTATCAAGCATTTTAATTATTTTGATTTAAATATATTAAATAACAATTGATTAATTGTGGGACACTACAAAAACCTAAAACAGAGGATTTCAAAAGTATGGAAATTTCTACAAAAATTAGTACATACAGGCCCATCCTTAGGCATTCAGCAATTCAACTCACACTTGAAAACAGCAAAGACAAGGACGAAAGCAAAGCAAAATACTTCAGTTTCCCGCTTTTTGAATTTTCTACAACTGATAGGCAAAAATAAAATTTATTGAAAAATAAGTATCTATTATCTATTTAAAAGCTATTTATTATTAATATTTGATTCTGCTTTCCATTCCCTTTAATAAATTAAAATAATTTAATAAAAAATATTGAAACAAAAATTTTTTCAAAACCAAAATGTAATTAATTTATTATTAATCACAGAAAAATATGTGAAATTCATACAGTTCTGTAAATTATATAACTTCAATTACTAAATGTACATATAAACATATATTGATTTTTGCATATCAATTATTAAGGAATATTTTTAAAACATCTTTTTTCCAGCAAAACACACACACACACACACATGATTATTCACATGACACCAACATGATTTGACAATATTAATTCAATAATAAACATAATATAATTTCTGATGTTTTACTAATGAGAGAATGATTTATCCTGAAAGACAGAAAAACACTATTAACAATAATTTTCATCTATCCTGAATTATATCTGAGCACAGAACTCGGACAAAAGATAAAAGTGTTAAAATACAGCAGAAAGTTCCCAGGATGATCAGTTCAACCTGATAATCGACAGTGGAGTACAATATGAATAACCACAGAATAAATCAGAGATGACAAAACCATTAAATTTATGCATGCATTGTTTCTAATAACTGTTTAATAATCTGACATTTTGCTGTTAAAAAAGATAGATAGTGAAAGATGTCTTGCTGCCAATAACAAACATACTGAATGATGGATATTTAAAAGAAGGCATCCAAATAATATCTATTCAGCATCTGGGTAGATTGGTGATGGGTCAAAACAGCCTTATTCCAAAAAAGCTAAAAGCTTTGATGGTTTTATTCCTGACTGTGCTCAAACCAGAAATAGCTGTTGACCTTCCTTCCCATATTAACCTTCATTCTCCCCTTGTATAAACACAAAGAAGGTTAAATTTATGACACTTTACCCTTCTTTTGTTATACCAACAAAATCATGTGGTTTGCATTAGCCTCTCCAACTCCTAGGTTCAGTTGTTTCCCCTCTTCTAATTCCCTTTATTAGTTCTGTTATATATCCTATCCTGTTTATGTTAAAAGTTCTAACAAGGTTTTGGGAAAATTGAATATATTGAAACTCAAAAGGTCTAAAAAGCCCTTGCTTATGATGGCAGGTCTTTTTTAGATTGAAATATTCACATAAAAGTGAAAATAACCAATGTGTTTTGCTGATCTAACAATTGTAATGGAAGTATTCTTATAAGTACAGATTAGAAAGTCATTGACTTGAAAAGTGATGTGTGCAGAAGACAGCAACAAAACGTGAAATGTAAAAACATAAACAGAGTTGTTTTAGATGTCGGGAAGAACTAAGATCCATTTTGACTATATGTAAAGAAACTTTTGCCCATGCTTTCGACAAAGGTTGACATTCCATGACCAGTGTACCAACCTTTAATGCAAAGAAATCGCCACCATTCATTACTAGATAATGCAGAAAACATTATCATTCCAAAAAATATTCTGGAAATTTATTGATTGTCATCAAATGGTATTCCATTTGATGACAACCAATGGTAATTGTCATCAAATGGTACTCAATTTGATGACAGAAAAATAGAATTCCTGCATTTGAAACCAACAGTACTATGAATAGTTCAAAAGAAAATGGAGAGTGCTTTGGTGATAGAACTTTCAAATCATCTCCATTACAGTTTGGTTAGTTTTTTATAATATTTACGTAGATGTTGTAACAAATATAATGCCAGCTATAAATGCATACTTCCAAATAAAAAGAAAGACATACGTGAGTTGTTTTTTTTCCTTTATTGAATTAGAAAATACTATTATGGGCCCCAAAATAATTTAGAGTCGATTTTGAATTTTGCGTTGTTGGTGCTATTAAGAATGTTTTCAATTTTGTTGAAGTGCAGAGCTGCAACTTCTTATTACAACAAATGACTGTGTATGAAGGTACAAAACTTAGGTTAATAAAACCTTATAAAAGTCATCAAGAAGTTAATTCTCATATTCTGAATTCTTTCAGATTTTCAAAGAGTTTTTTAAAGTGCATCTTTTTAAAACATTAAAGAAACTGCAGTGCATTATGTTAGTAAGAACAGACTGATGTTAACCTTTCAGCATGCGTGTATGCGCAAAATTTACGACAAATTCTGCTTTTAATGCACATTTTTGATATATTAAAGCTGAAGTCTATAATAGTTATTAATGTCTGGAAATCATTTCTATTCCTCCTTTCTATACTTCCCCTCATCATGAAATGTGCCAAAAGGAAGTCACGTGGCAGCTTTTTCGTAAAGGTTACGACACACACGTTGTCATGGGTGAATTCGGAAAATATTTTTTTCTCAAATATTTTATAATTTTGTATTATTAATTGCCATGTATTACTTTAATTTGGCTGATCTTTGGAATATGGTAACTGGTAGTTTGGCGACATTTTGGAGGCAATAAAGGTTACTATCTAGGACTTTGGTAATAATGTGAGAAGTACTCAGTTCCGATTACGCATTATTTTGTGTGAGGGAAATTAGAGATCATGAGATATGTCATGTGACATTAATGGACGAATTACAGTTCTTTAATCGGAAAAGGGGGGAAATCTGGAAAAAATCTGGAAATTTTGTATTTAGCTTTATTCTGTGTTGTGTGAAACAGTGTTGGTTAATTTTTGGATACCATTTCCCTAACTAAAGTGAATTCGAAATGGGTATTTAGTGGGATTGAAAGGGGCAGTAATAAGTGTTTTTTTAAGGTTGTGCGAGATAGAAGTAAAGATGTTTTATTAAGTTATTTATTTTACCTGGTACCTTGCTGTGAACTATAAGTATGATTTTTAAAGATCCTAAAACAGGCACACATACGCTTACTTTTTATTTAGCGGAGGAAATAAGAAAAGCTTATCGGCCACGTAATCAAAATTCTGAAGAAGATTAGGTTAGTATTTTTAATTATTTGAGGATATTATTTTTATGCATTGTTCTAAATGTAAGGAGTAAATAAAGTAATATGGTATTATTGGAAAATTGTTATTAGCAATGATTTAGTTTAAAGTAATTAGGATTGTAAGCTAATTTTTATTAATTTAATGTATGTGCTTATTTATATTTTAAGTAGTGTTTTGAATTTAATTATATTTTAATTAAATAATAGTTATTTTGTGAATTATATGTTTGTAGGAATTTGGTATACGTTTCAGTTGAAGTAAACGTGCATGGAAATAATTTAAATATTTGACACTAAGTATTTGTAACCATTTGTAATGTTTGCGGTGTGAATTCGTTGGTGACGTTTATAATATAATAGATAATTTAGAGGTAAAAGTTTTTGGATATTTTATTTATTTTATACGTGGAAATGTTCATCTTTGGAAAGGGTATATACTTTTTCGCGATCAGGCAATTTCATATATGTTCTTTTTACCGGATTTAAAGATTCACAAAATTTTCATGAACTTTTGTGAAAATTTTTCTAATTTATGAGAAAAAAGCAGTATAGATGGATAAAGTTAAGAGTGTGTGCAATGCCATTTTTGTGCAATTCTGGGATGTTTTTTTAAGTAAAAATAAGTCGACATGTAAATGGTTTATGTGTATGTGCTATTCTGAAAAACGCGCAAGGAGTTTGCGATTGTGCACTTTTCCCAATTTTGCAGTTAATATTTGTCATGATTAAGCAGTTTTGTTACATAAAATTTCTAGCATAAGTGTAATTCGGCTAGTAGATTGTTGGAAAAAGTGTTCAGTAAATAAATAAAAAAAAAGAAACATGTCTTTACTTCGTGAAGACAAAATGGCGGCGAAAAAAATAGAGGGTTGCTGTAGCAGAGTTGGTCGCCAAATTTTCGCCAAAAAATCGCCAAGTTACCATAATCCAAAGATCAACCTTTAATTTTTATACATTTGACTCTGTAATTTTTATATTGGTTTCATGGCAAAAAAATATGTGCAACCAGCTGATGTTGCTCTCATTGTTCAAGAATTATCACATGAGGAAAAGGAACACAAGGAAACCTTTGGATGGGAGAATAATAGCGATTTCCATTCCTTATTGTCTTTTATTTCTATTTTTTAGAAATAAATAAAAATATTAAAGTTAGTTTAAAGTGCATTTTTTAATCAGTAAGAAATAAATTTCCTTGCAGAAGTAAGTAATGCTAAACTTACTTTTTTCCTACCAAGGTGAGTGTGTTTTCCTTTTTTATTTGTCTATATTTGCCTTTGATGAATATTAAAATTAGCATCGATTTTAAAATATAATTATTAAAAAATAAATTAAAAATTTTCTATAATAAAATACATCATTGTATTTCCATCTCACTAACATAAAAACAAGTTACTTATATTTGAATGTGATATCATTTGTATTTTGCAATAATAAGGTTAATATTTTATTTCTTAACAAATTTATTATCAATATTCACTCATTTCTGTCGTTTTCCATGCCAAAAACCGTAAAATAATGGATGTAAAAAATATGACGTGCACATACTCATGTAAAATTGCCAAGCACGCATGCTGGTAGGTTAAATATGAATCTATAGAGTATATTAATGTATAGAAATACTGAAATAAAGTTTATTTTAAATGTTTTATACTGAATTATGAGCACTTCCGAAATCTGATAGGCATTTTATCACATTTGTTATTAATTATGATATCCCTATTATTAAAAAAAAATGGAAATTGATGCAATCTCGAATAAAATTAGAAACCAAAATAATTTCAGAGGGTTAAGTAATTGTCTCCAAAAACTTCACAAATCTATATGTAACATTTTAAACCTCTTTTTGAATTATTGAGCTTTATGCTCAGAGCTTTAAAAGAATTTTTGTAGTGGCGATAAATAACCTGTGGTTCTGCACATCACTTATTAATTATAACAATGGCATAGACTATAGACATGTGCTATATGTACTGCTATATATGTAAAAACCTTTTCTTAAAAAGTATGTATATTATTTTTAAGTCACTCAACTTTAATTAAACATTGTTACTATATAGAAAAATAGATTAGAAAACATATTTCAAATAGAATGCAGATCTGGATGACTTTTTGAATTAATCTATGTTCAGCTGCACAATTTTTTTATAATATATTTTTTCATTACTTTTATTTTAATCTTAAAGTGAACATAATTGAAATAAGAGTAATAGGAAATTCAACATGAATGGCTATTAAACTGAATTGTTTTTATTGTTTCTAAACCAGAATGTATCTCATTTGAAAATTCTTAATTTTAGTGGTTAGTAAATAGCAATCAGATTTTTTTTTTTTTTCAAAGTTTTCTGAAAACTGAAAAGTGTAGCTGTTTAAATTTCTTTTACAGCAAACTTAGTGTAGACTTCTAGAATGGAAATGATCTTAAACTTCGACATTTTAATTTTGAAAAAGATGATATTAAACCAAGTTATAGCTTCAAAGTTATGATAAAATATTATTAATGGCTAAGATTTTTGATAGATGATAATGAGTTGCCTTGCAGCATATCTTGGGAAATGTGTAAAACAAGGTTAAAAGGTTCCACTAAAATAATACAAAATAAAAAGTATTATGCCGCTGAAAGCATTAACTTTATATTCTCTTTACAGAAAGAGGTGTAAAAACATAAACTGTGTTACAAATGAAATGAAGAGGTATATCCTGATCAAGCTCAGTTGAGAATACAATTATGGAATCTTCCATTTTAAGACTGAAACTGGAATAAAAGTGTTATGCTCTTTTGGAAACAGGTTAAATCAGAACTAAGCAGGATAGATTTATATTTGATTGCAATAGCATGAGACACTTGATCCATTTTGCATGATCCTCAGTTTTTACAAATGGTTCATTTAGTTATATAGTATTTTGCTTTATAGACAAGTTTTAAATGTTCTAATGCATCTGGATCAAAAGGTAAAGGGTGTAATGAACTGCTCACAACCCAAACGCATTATATATCATTGCCTAGGCCTGAAAAAAGACACAGCTGAGTGATAAAGTATCAAGTTACAGAGCCTAAATCATGTAGAAGTAGTTTGAGAAGCACAACAACCCCTTTTAAACATAAGGTCATGCTTTCATATTTGGCAAATTTTAGCCTAATTGAGCATCTGCAGGATGTGTAGAATAGCAGAAACCTGATTACAGATATACTATAAGGGTCACTCAAATGAAAACTGGCCATTGCTGTAATAACTCCACCATTTGAAGAGAAAGATGACTGCCCATGCTCCTATGCAGGGATGCAGAGTGCATGTGATATCATCAGATTCCACCAGATGTGTGTGTAATAGTGTAGGAGCATGTTAAAAGGCATCATTTACATCTTGAATGCTTCCAAATGGCATCAATGTGCGGTTGTGCAATTTTAAACAGTAGAAAATGCGAATGCTTCTGAAATCTATCGTCAAATGCAAAATGTGTATGGCATGGAGTGTATGAAATGCAGATTGGTATTCTGATGCTGTACGGATTTTCGTAGTGGAAGAAGCAGTACTGATGACAGGCCACGACATGGTCAAGTACATGTGTTGATCACCCAGGAAGTAGGTACAGATGTGGACCATCTCATGAAAATGAATCGGCGAATCACCACTCGAGAAACAGCAGAGGAAATGTTTATAAGTATAGGATGTGTGCACACAATACTGTGTGAAAAAGTGTGATACCACAAGGTTTGTGTGCAATGGATGCCACATCATTTGACGGAGAAGCAGATGATTTATCACGTCTATTTCCATGCAATACCTTATGCGGTACTATAAAATGGGAACCGATATAACTTCAAACCCACGGCCGAAGAAAACGTCCACTAGAGCTGGTAAGATCACATTAACATGCTTCTTTGGCATTGATCAATCTTCTTTGACAACTATTGGAATGGCTATCTACCGCCACAATGGCCACTGTTGCCATGTACCATGCCACATTGTAGAAACTGAGACAGAATGTCCCACCGACATGGCATACTGTCATGCGGCCATATACTGTCCTCTTGCATGATCATGCTCATCTCATGTGGCTGTTACTGCCAAAAATTGCAATGGCAATTCTGCTCAGAGTTTCTCAAACATCTCCATTACAACCCGGACCTCTCATCGTGGGACTACCTCATCTTTGGTCCACTCAAGAAATGTCTGAAGGGGGTGGTGATTTGCTGATGATAATGAGGTTCAAGCTGCCATTGAAATTTAGCTCCACAACCAACCCTGGAGCTTATTCACCCCAGGGTATCCATTGTCTCACTGCCCACTGGGACTTGTTTCAACCTACAAAGTGACTTTGTCTGTTGCATCTATATTACTTCTTCCTTTTGTATACTAATTTATATTAATATAATTAAATGATTTCTCAAACCAACTGTAGTGGCACTTTCGCTTGAACAACCCTTATAAAAACTGGACACAACAGATGCCTAAATGTACATCTAAAATGAAATCTATAAATGCATCATTATGCTTTTGTGATAGAAAGCACTTATTATACTAGATACAAAATATGGTCAATGTGCTAATGAGTTAATTGGTTATAATTCAATTATCATTCAGCACTACACTATTTTCTCACGATTTGTATGGAGATCTGAAATCACAAGAACATTTTTTAATTCAACTTAAAATGCAGAAAAATAAGGTAACTGCCATGAAGCTAAATAAAAGTTTTTTTTTTTAAAGTTTTTAAAATTCACATATGTATAGTATTATAAATGCCTCTCACCTTATTGTGGTATGGATCATTGTATATAGGAGTAGCAAGTAATTCAATATCTCTCTGTGAACTCTTGAGACCTATGTAAGTGTAGGAACCCCTGCTAAATGGATTACTCTTCCACGATGTACTAGGAAATAAAAATCATTGAAAATAGAATGAATTGGGTTTCAAAATCAAAATTTTCATAATTTTTATGTAAACAAATATTAATTAGTGCAAAAATTTCAACTTATTTTATGCCTAGCTTTGTTGTGCTTAAATTTGTCACAAATAGCAAATAAGGTGTTAAACCATTTAAAATTTATATAATTTCATATTAATCGCATCAGCAGTTGGCAAAACATTTCCTGATCTCTTGCAAGTAAGTGTTATGAGAGTACTCTTCTGTTTTATTGGGACCGGATTTGGAAATGTATGTATGTACGCGTGTATATATGGATATATGTATACATCCATGCATGTATATATGTATTTATGTGTGTGTATATACAAATATATATGCACATACATATATGCATTTCTGAATCTGGTCCCGACAACAGAAGAGTACCATTATGAATAAAAATATTTAATTAATCATGCTAATTTTAATGAAAAAAGGGCCAGACACATTACATAAGAAATCTTGGTTCCTGTTCTCAGTAAATTAAATGAGGTTCATTGAACATGACAAAGCTCACAAGGTTTATCTACCTATGGAGAGGGATGCTCTCATGGAGAATTTTCTAAGGCAAACTGGCTGATATTCATATTACACATGGGGAAAATGATGAAAATCAACCATGTAGCCAGCCTATTCACTTGGGACTGAACTCCCAGTATTCAGTTGTCTTAACCAAATTTGCTCTGACATTAAAATTGTTAGCTGAATTATAAATTAAGGTTTACAATGACAGTGATCCCAGGAACTTTACAATTTATTTCATGTTTTAAGGAGGGATTGGTAAATATCTGCACTCTCCTTTAGTTATTTTTAGCCATTATTGGCCCTGTGTACTATTTATTATGCCTATTTTCTAACAACTTTATCATTTCTTCCTGTTTATCCGTTTCATTCAAAGAAATACCAATGATCCTATGGCTCACAAAAATATTCACATGGCAGTCCAGATCATGAGCACAGATGTGTAATGCGATTCACATCAATATTTCATTGCTTGATGTTATGTGTGGAAGTAAAGCATAATTTTTATGATTCTATTATCTTAGAAACAGTAGGCAAGTTACAGTGGATGTAAAACACTCTCTCATTCCTCTATGACCTGTTAAATGTATAGTACAGAATGCATAATATTACCATAAATGGTAGTATGACCTCTGTGGTATTGTCTAATTCATAAATTAAATACAATGTGGAATTATCAGCATGTTTCTGAAATATCATGCCACATACAGTGCTTAATACCTGCAACTTTTTATAACTATAGATTTTGGAACATATTACCTACAGAACGAATACAAGAGCATCACTAAATTGAAGGGGGAAAAAAAAAAAGACAGATTCATGATAAATAAAACAGCTGGTATCGTGTAATCAGTACAGGCCTTGATACATTTACTCTTAGACACACAATCATTACTTTTAAATTCATTATGCTTAAAAACTAGGGCATGTTAGAATCATATTAAACTTGACAGACTTTGAGTATGCAGGAGCCTTCAACAGGAAGGATACCATTTTCCTTTCAAATGCATTTCGTCACTTCTTTGTTTAGATCAGACAGAAAAATACCAGCCCCCCTGACAACCATGAAAGGACCGAATGCTAAAAGTACGATCCTAGCCAATCAATGGTCACTGTGCCACTCCTAGGAAGCAGGTATTTGAAAGTGACATGCTGGGAATCTCAGTTAGTGAGAAGAAAGATTGCATTAGGTCACAGCTGTTTATTTTACTGAGTAACACATATTCTCCATTTTTAGATCCTGTAAGAAGGGAGATAATTTTTTTTTTTATTTTTTTTAATTTTAAATGTATTTATAGATATATTTACTTACTGGATTGGTGGTCTGCATGTCTAGATATTAGATCATTCCAGGTATTGAAATTTCGGATTTTATATTATAGTATGGTACAATACATCACATAAACATTGCACACAATTTTATTTAAACGATATACATATATATGTTTTACTTCATATTTTGCTGATATATAAATCAGGTATTTATATATTATCTTGTCATCTGTGGGTGGAAATTCTGACAACAGTCCCCAAATGCCAGTCATTACAGTTAAATGACCTTACATATGTTACAGTTAAATGAGCTAACATATGATTAATCCTTATTCGAAATTTGTACATCTAGTTGATAATTAATATTTATAACATCATTTAATCTTGACACAGATGCATAAATTCTTTCTTTCTTTATATTTAACAAACTGGCAACTCTTCCTGTGAGAAAAAAAGACATGGTGTCCTTATCAAGAACAGCGCGAACTGGAATTCTTTTTCCCTCTGAATCACAAACATATATTATTGATATCGCTAATAACACATTTTTTTTCCCTCAATGTCATCTGCATTCTTGTTTATAATCTGGTCATTCCATGTTTCTGTTTTTGTTTTGTCTAACTGCTGCTGATGTTGTCACTGGAGGGTATGCCATAGATTAATGAATGACAGTTTTATGGAAATCCAAACACCTGAAATGCTTATTACTAAGATAGTTTATACACAATTTTGTTAACTATTTCATATCTTTATTTTGGATTGAATTTAAGAAATGAGTCCCATTTATGTAGCAGATATTTATTATCTTTATATATCACACAAATTGCAGCACTATCAGTTTTAACCAACAAAGCCTTTGATTTTGAACTTTTTTCTAAGAGGTATCTCACTTTATTATTACTTAGTATTAGGGTATGTTATCTAATAACTGACATGTTTTCTCTAAAAGCAAAATTAATTCTTCAAACATAGGAATTTCTGTAGCATAAATACTCAGCTCAAATTGTTTGCATGCTTCATAATCTAGTTTCTGAAGTATAACATTTAATAGTCAAAAGTCGTTAATCCGGACTCGTCGGGAGTTCGGTGATTCCGGATTATAGATCATCAGTTTAAATCTGGTAAGATAGCATGCAGAAATTACAAAATTAAAAATATGAAACCGTAATTTATGAAATAAAAAACAATTATGATCTAAAGGATATCCAAATTTACAAAAAAAAAAAGCTTAATATTTATTTGTTTACTTTATTAAACATTTCTTTCAATGTAAGTTGTTTAAGTTGCTTCATTTCATGTGATAATATTTTCTCTTTAATTCTATTAAACAGACATAATTTCTTGTTTAGTTACAAAGTTCCGCTGTTGAAGTCCTATAATTGCTGTGTTGAGAATACTGACTAATTCGTCAATAGAAATTTTTTCGTTTTCAATAACCTCTGGGTCATTTTCTTCACTATCAGAAGCGAATTATAATGACGATGAACCCGATTTTAATCATATCAAAGACGGAGTACATCGAGATGAAATACTACATTTAGTAAGGAATTATAGCCAAATAAAATAAAAACATCTGCCCTGAAGATAAGGATAGTGCTGACACATCAACTTCCAATTCATTGAGCGCAGCGGTGTGAAACTGATAAACAGATTTCGGATTTCGAAACATACTTTCACTTTGTAGATACTTTACATATTAGTAAATATATATCGGAAATTCTATTTGACATAATCGAAATTTCAAGCTTACTTTTATAAAATTGCTCTAACAGTGTGCAAAAAATAATAAGCCGGGTCCAATTCGAAGATTAAGGAACAACGCAATCTGCAACATTAACTGAATTAGATAATTTTAGCTTAGCTTATACCGTCCATTACACATTAAACGCACATGCGCACATACATATTCGTAGCCGTAAAGGGCTTACGCGCACTCGTAAACGCCTATGCGCATGCGTGAACGCGACGCATGCATGAACGCGACGCATGCGCAGAAAGTTTGTAGCTTTGAAGTCCGGATTATGGGTGTCCGAATTAACAACTTTTGACTGTAACAAAATATCCAAAAAATTATTTTTCTCATACTTTAAAATAGTCAAAGCCTTTACATTTTTAGTAACATTATCTATTACATACCTTATCCCCTTTGACAATTTAAAAGTTAAATTATGTAAATCCATTATTGACTTCCCATGTCTCTGAATTCAGATTCTTATATTTTCATACCTGTCTTGAAGAGACTTTGGTTGATCTTTACAATATGGTAACTGGTAGTTTGGCGACATTTTGGAGGCGATAAAGGTTACTACCTGGGACTTTGGTAATAATGTGAGCAGTACTCAGTTCCGATTACGCATTATTTTGTGTGAGGGAAATGAGAGATCATGGGATATGTCGTGTGATATTAATGGACGAATTACGGTTCTTTAATCGGAAAAGGGGAAAAATCGGGAAAAAATCTGGAAATTTTGTATTTGGCTTTATTCTGTGTTGTGTGAAACAGTCTTGGTTAATTTTTGGATCCCATGGCCGTAACTAAAGTGAATTCGAAATGGGTATTTAGTGGTATTGAAAAGGGTAGTAATAAATGTTTGTTTAAGGTTGTGCGAGATAGACATAAAGATGTTTTATTAAGTTATTTATTTTACCTGGTACCTTGCTGTGAAATATAAGTAGGATTTGAAAGATCCTGAAACAGAAAGAAGAAAAGTTTATCGGACACGTAATCAAGATTCTGAAGAACATTAGGTAAGTTAGTATTTTTAATTACTTGAGGATATTATTTTTATGCATTGTTCTAAATGTAAGGTGGAAAGGAATTTGGTATTATTGGGAAAATTGTTATTAGCAATGATTTAGTTTAAAGTGATTAGGATTGTAAGCTAATTTTTATTAATTTAATGTATGTGCTCATTTATATTTTAAGTAGTGTTTTTGAATTTAATTATATTTTAATGAAATGATAGTTATTTTGTGAATTTTATGTTTGTAGGAATTTGGTATACATTTTAGTTGAAGTAAACGTGGCATGGAAATAATTTAAATATCTGACACTAAGTATTTGTAATGTTTGTGGTATGAATTCGTTGGTGACGTTTATAATATTATAGATGATTTAGAGATAAAAGTTTTTGGATATTTTATTTATTTTATATGTGGAAATGTTCATA